CACAATGGGTTTGGAGCGAGCCGTCACCTAGTTGCCCCCTCCCCTTGCTTGCTCCCCCCTGCCTGCCCGCTCGCCGAGAGGGCAAGGTGCGGAGGGCCCCGCGGGAGCACCGGGCAGCCTTGGGGAAAGGCTTTGCTCTGTCGTGGTGCTGGCGCGCAGCTGCCAGCAGGGCATGGGTGCCGCTTTTTCGATGCCTGTAAGAGAAGGAAGGCGGTTCACGCGGATCTTGCGCCCCGTTTTAAGAGTGGGGAGTGAACGGTTGAAGAGCTGCGTGGGGGAAAAACAATGGGCGCAGGGCTCAAGGATGTGCCCTGAAGGATGCCAGACGCAAAGACAGTCCTGACAGGCTCTGGCCATCCCTGGGCTGTGCTGCAGGTAATCCCACAGAGATGGCAGCCAGCCCGGGAGCGTGCTCTGGTCCTGTCTGGCTGCTCCTCTCAGGTGCCATGGGATGTCCTTGGAAATACGTATCGAGAACAATTCACATGCCATTTCACTGACCGTGGCCCTGAAATAGAGTTAAATTATATGGTGAAGACCATCTTTAAAATCCAGTCCTGCTGGTTGCTGAGAGCGCTTTGCGGTGGCTTTGACAGGCAGGGTTTCATTTCTGATGATAGTTTTTCTGAGGCTTGGTGTTTGCAGTTGGAATGGGACTAGTACTTAAAGGCAGGAGCTGCTGTAAGATCCCTAGTGAAAGCGTGGGACCACCTTCCTTGAAGTGGTTATCTGTGGCTGCTTCTGTTGAGTTCTCATGCAACCTCTAGCTCCCCGTTAACACGTTCTTCCCATGTTGTCTTTAAGAGTCACGTTTTTCTTTTCTAGCAAAATGAAGCTGAAGGAGATAGATCGTACTGCCATGCAGGCATGGAGTCCTGCCCTGCAGCACCCCATTTATCTGGCCACCGGTAAGTTGTTGGGGTGTGGGCCAGCAGACCTTAGCCTACCTGTGGTGGCTGCCATGAGGTGGTTATAAATGAAAGTTATAGTAGTTAGTTCACGCCCTGCAGGTTGAAGCTGCAGTGGAGAATACCATGTAGTACCTCAGAGGCAGTTTTCCAGCCTGTGATACCCATTTATTCCTGGGTTTGATCTTTGTGGTGTGACAACATACTTGCGGCTCTGTAGCCAACAGCACCGGCTCCCTTCTTCCAGGTTAAGGCTACAGCATCCTGCCGTTCGCTGTTCCTTAGTGCTCATCTGGCACGTCCCTTGTTTCTCTGTTGTTAACTGAATTTCTCATACGTAATCAGGGAGAGACAAGCGTTCTCCTGAAGCTTCTCCTTTTGCGCAGGTCAAGAAACGCGCAAAGAGAATTGTGGGGAGGAGAATTATGTAGCGGTACTTCTAAAACAAAACAGAAATCAGACCCCATCTCGGGGTCCCTTTTGTGAGGATGATGCTCTTATGCCCTGCATGGTGCCGCTTTTGCGGTCGCTCCTCTCTGTAGCGTGTCTTTCTCATCCCTGAGCGTATTTCTTCATAGGTACATCTGCTCAGCAGCTGGATGCGACGTTCAGTACCAATGCTTCTCTAGAAATATTTGAGCTGGACTTAGCGGACCCTTCCCTGGATATGAAGTCCTGTGCCACCTTCTCCTCCTCTCACAGGTACGCAGTGGGGGTTGTGAGCGAAAAGTAATGGCTGTGGGACTCTTGTATGGGCTGTGTGCTGAAAAGCCAGCGTGTGAGGTTCGACTGCAGTTTTTCAGGAGAGGAGCAGAGCTTCAGTGCTGAGGGATGGTGTGTGAGTGCCATTGCTGTTCAGAGGGGACAGCGTGGTGTGACAGTGAAGGCAGAGAGCTGGGTCTGCAAGGAGTTGTGACCAGCTTGTATTTTGCTGCGAACCTCACGGTCTGTTGGTTGTATTGGCTCTCTGGAGGCTGCTCCAGTGGCCACTGTTCATTGCCGGTGAGCTGTAACAACCTAGCAGATGGAAGCACGGGATGCTTCGCTGTGGGTAGAGAAGGACCTGAAAATTTCTTGTTGAGCTTGGATCCCGTCCATGACTCTTTCCTGCTAGCTGCGATGTCAGTGTAAGCACTCGTCCCCCATTGACCCCTAACTTTGTGAGCGGAGGCGCAGAGAATTAAAGCGGTTGGTCAGGAAGTCAAAATGAGGCTTGCGCTCTTGGAGAAGCAATTGCAATTTTCATCCCCTCTGGTGACACGAGTGGAAAGGAATTCAGTTTTATTGTTATCCATTTTAAAATGGGAAGTTCAGGGCCTAAGACTGTTGTTCACTTTTTTACCATACGCGGTTCCTAGAAGTTGCGTGGCCTAGAAATAGATTCTAGCGACTGAAATGAGGATTTTGCTGCGTTTGCACACGATGAGATTGTGACTCTGTTACGGGATGCTCTCCTAACGTGGGTTAAAACAGTTGCAGTAGTTTTTGCAGGAAGCTTTCTTTGTTTTCTGTCAGTTTTGAGACGGTGAATTAGTTGCATGGATGTCTTTGGGGCTGTCAGGGCTATTGTAGTGGAAGCCAGTTGGCAATCTAAGTCCTGCAGTCGTGGTAATCTTGATACGTGAGGCTCGCAAGAAACAGCCGCAGCCTGCACCGAACGCCCCAAGTTGCAGGCAGAGCTGATATTAGCATTCCCTAATGGCCCACCAAGAGCAGAATGAGCTATTTGATCCTTCAACGTTTCCTGGCTTTATCTTGTTTGAGTCACGGCTGAGATTTGTCAGGGCTTGCCAAGTGGCATATGCTTACTGGATGTCAAAGACGTTGCCCCGGGTTAGGATGCAGAACTCCTTCGAAAACTCTGCCCTTGGAGAGCCTCTCAGGTAGTTGATGATGCCCCACAAAATGCACGAGTTAATTTTTTTAATGAAGTAAGCAACAAATGCCTCAACTAGCAAGGTATACATCAGCCTTTATTTTGGCTGGAGGCAAGTCAAAATGGCCAGGTGTTCAATCTCAAAAAATCAGTTCTGGAACAAGTTTTATTTATGTTGTCCTACAGGAAGTATTGCACTGCTTTCATAGAGCTGATCTTTGAAAGGGCAAAGGGCAAAGGGAAAGTAAATATACACTTACCTTATTCCTCACCCCTTTCTGCTTCCTTTTCATTTTCTTATCTTAACACCTGTTTAATTGTGCTGGTGCTGTAGTATTAGTGTCTGGCCAGCCTGTTGGTCAGTTCATTTCCTATAACCTTAAAAAAAAAGGTGCAGAACTGACAGTTCTTGTAACCAGAGAGAGGGTCTGTCTGGTATCAGACTGATTTCAGTTCGTAGCGTTGTTCTTTGGCTGCGTCATCGCTGTAATCTGAATGCTGTACCAGGACAGTAGGTGCTGAGACTGAGCGGCCAAATGCCTGGCAGTGACAGTTTCTTTTACAGCGTGCGCTCTTTGTCTAGGTTTTTATCATATCGTGCTGAAATTTGTGCATTAAAGAAATTATTTATAGGTTGTCCTTAAATAATTGAGATTAGCAATAACGTAGTGCACGCTGAAGTCATTTTTCCATACTTTCTAAACGATGGTTTGCGTTACAGTTGCCTGACAACTGATAGGTGTCAGTGTCTTACGTAGAAGAGATATACTTCCTTCATGGCTGAATATGCCGGAATGAAAAAACAGGAATGCTGTTGTGTTCATTAAACAAGCTTGTTTAGTGAAGGAAAATTGGATGTTTATATACGGACAAAAGCGTGGAATTAGCTGGAAGCACGTTTGATTCCTCTCATTTAGTCTGTAAAAGACACTGTGGTCCAGTTGACGTGTTTGTGCTGAGAATGAGCCGCTGGCAAAGCGTCCAGTGCAACAGATGAAATTCTTTATGTTCAGGAGCACAGGTGAGGAAAAAAGATTTGGAATTTTTTCTAGTTCCACCTTTTATCCGTTGTGCGAACGGCTACCCGCAAATATCAAAGGTCTACCTCCAGGTTGTGTTTGGATGGGCTTAGAGCCCTTATTTGGGTTTACTCCTGTTGGTGTACAAAAAGAAGGCCAAAGTCACGTACAGTGGGCAGATTTACTTGATTTTGCAGCTAGGAGGGGAGAAATACAGAGCGGGTTGATTCCCATGGTCCTCCGTCTTGACCAGGAGTAGCGTTTATGTGTGTCATCTTTCTGGGGCAGTGGGGTAAGCAAGAAAGGGTTAGGGCCGCATTAGTTAGGGGAAACTTGGGTAGAGCTTTTGTCTGAAGTGTCTGCAACGCCTGTTAGATGACGTGGCGGTCTGGAGGCTCCAGCCGGGCTGTGGTGGAGTGAAGTGGGGTACGTCGGCGTATGCAGAAAGCTGATGGTGGATGGTTGTAGACTACGGGGTCTTTGTGTCTCGCAGATACCACAAGCTGATCTGGGGGCCACACAGCATGACTACGGGTGAGAGTGTCTCAGGAGTCCTGATCGCAGGAGGTGAAAATGGAAACATCATTCTGTACGACCCAGCCAAAATCATAGCTGGAGAGACTGAAGTAATAATTGCACAGAAAGACAAGCATACGGGACCAGTGCGAGCGCTTGATGTCAACATTTTCCAGGTTGGTTTTCTGTTGTTGAGAGAGCTGCAGAACACTGGCCTGGCTTAGCAGTGTGTTACCCTAAATTGTTCTGTCCCTCACCTTTGAAAGCCACGAACAAAATTTGGTGTTTGAGTATTTGTATATATTTAGTACGGGAAACTGCTCTGTTGCTAGAATTTCAGTACGGAGAATGAATTTCAGGTGTCTGATCCCTTCTCATGGTCAGTTTAAATTGCCACTTCAGTGGGTCTACTCAGCTTAGGTGTAAAGCGCAGGTGACTTTCTGTGACGTTTTCAGCTAGTCTCCCTCTTTGGTTCCCATGGGCTGTACCAGCATCGCTCTGGTCACAGGGAGTATATATTTATGTACTCTGTTGCTTTGAGTGACCTTAGATGTTAGAGATCTCTTAGGGGAATGGGGAGGATCTGTCTTCATGACTTAACAATTTTGACATCAGGAAAGGGGAGACAGCAGGAAGTGCTTGGTTGTGGCCTTTATAGGCAGAAGAGCTCTCAAAAGCAACAAGCTTTCCTCCATTACTAAAGAGCATTTACTTCCTTCTAGATACAGTGGGTAGGTTTTTCCTCATCCCCATCCGCTATGTGAGAGCTTAGTTGATTTCATTTTCTAAATAGCGCTTCTGTCTGTGGCCACTTGATTTTAGCAAGGCCACCCTTTGTTCATTGTGTCCTCTCTGGTTTGCTTCCTTTCCGTTTCTGTTGGTTATGAAGTCGAGGCTTGCGTTGGCATCAGTAGCAGATGTGATCAAAGGTCACTCCGTGCCCTCGGCTGGCATCACCCCTGTCTGGCCTCTCCTGTCCTGGCCCCAGGATTGCTCCTGGTCGTTGCCCTTATTGAGGCGGTGGTGCAGTTTGCAGT